AGGAGGATATGGAGGATGAGGAGAAGCAGGAGGCGGAGGCAGCGGAGAGTCAGGCGGCTGAGGAGGAGAGGAAGGAGGCTGATGATGATGATGATGATGACGATGAACATGATGATGATGATGTTTCTGGTGATGATGATGATGATGATGATGCTGATGATGGTGCTGGTTATGCGGATGATGATGATGATGATGATGATGATGATGATGATGATGATGATGATGATGATGATGATGATGATGATGATGATGATGATGGCGGCGGTAATGATGATGCTCATGATGATGCTGCTGATGATGATCATGACCATGCGGCTGATGATGATGATGATTTTGTGGATGATGATGTTGACGATGATGATGGTGATGATGATGATGGTGATGGTACTGATGATGATGATAACGATAAGGAGGAGGGGAAGGAGGATTATGATGACGATGGCGATGGCGACGACGATGACGATGACGATGACGATGGGGATGGTGAGGATGAGGATCAGAATGAGGATCATCATGGGGATGAGGATGCGGATGAGGATGAGGGTGGGAATCAGGATAAGGATGCGGATGAGGATGAGGACAAGGATGAGGAGGAGGAGGAGGAGGAGGAGGAGGAGGAGGACGGTGATGATGAGGAGGATGAGGAGGAAGAGGAGGACGAGGAGGAGGAGGAGGAGGAGGAGGAGGAGGAGGAGGAGGAGGGGGAGGGAGTACGAGGAGGCTCGGTTCGGTCCACCTCCAAGGCGCGAGTCACAGCTCACAACTGCTGGGCGCGTGCCACTCCCAAGGGGAGCGGCAGCCGAGGTGGAGGAGGAAGACGAAGCGCCTTTCCATCTGGCCGCCGCCTAATTCGGACGACGTCCGTGCAGCGCGCATGCGACGAGCGCCTGCCTGCAGTCTCCTGCATCCCCTTCTTGTTCGCGCGCTGCCGTGGGCTCGAGGGAAATTCAACATTTACTTTTTCTGGTGGTGGCTCGAGGCGGCCGTTTCTGTGGCCATTTCGGGCCGAAGAGTTGCGATGTTCGCGGTGATTGAGCCGACAAAGCGAGTGGATACAATGGGATACTAGGCCGGACGGCCGACGACCACCTCGACCGAATGGTTTTCCTCTCACAGTTGTGATCATGAAGCGCGGGAGCATACAGCACCGCGGAGCATCTCACCAGCGCTTGCATGCCAGCACGAGCTCGTACACCTCCACGATCAGCGCGCACGGAAGAGCCAAGCAGTGGCAGCTGGCCCTGTCGTTGCTCCGCGAGGCGCGAGATGTGAAGTTGGAGCCTGACGTCGGCTGTACTGCAATGTCCGCGGAGGCGCGGGCGGGAAAGGTTGGCACGAATCTGCGGCCACTTGCGAACCCTACCTGTTGCGGGTCCACTCGACGCTGGGGTATCGGACACTTCCGCTGGGGCTCTGCAGACATCCGTTAAGTTCTGAACCCTAGCCGACTCCTCAGAAGTCTGATCTGATGGGGTCGCATTCACATGTGGTTGCCTGAAGACTGGCTGGCCGCTCTGCGAGCGAGCTTGCGCGCGCCAGCGCTACCGCAGCGATGCACCAGCCAGCGCCAAACAGTCATCGTAATCGCCCCTTTGATGGAACTTGCAGACCAAGTTGCGGGTGGGTGGGTGGGACGATTGCGCGAGCAGCGGAATTGACAACGCACTGCGAATCAAAAATAATAGCACCACGTGGATTGCGCCACATCGCATGCACCACATAGATTGCACGACGCAGCTTGCACCACATATATTGTTGAAACTTGATTGCACCACGTAGCTTGTTCCTCATATATGGCACCACCTCGACTGCAACACCTGGTATGCTTGAACGGACGGTTCTGGGGTTACGCTGGCTAACCTTTTTAACAATACTGCAACCTTCTAGCGGGACGTGTTAAGGAAAGCGCCCCACACCTTTTTGGACATGTTTCGCACAAGAGGGTCTCATTAAAGTGACCACCATGCTTGTCCGAAGGACGCCCCGCTGGCACTTTGCGACCCTCTACTCATCAATGCTGCCCCCGCGATGTGGCCTGATAGCTTTTCCATTCTCCGCCGCCCTGTTCCCTGGAATCCCCTCGCCCTCCCCTTCCTCTCCCACTCCGCACCTCCGCCGTGGCCCAGCGGATACATGCTCAGACATCCGGTTGCCGCACAAGCGGCATAGAGAGGCAACCATTGCAAACATCAGCACGCAACAAAAATCATGTAGCTGCACGATTTCTCATCAGCGAGAGGCAGATCGAACCACCGGTGAACACCTTCGCTAAGCGACACGAGCGGCCTGCAGCACGTAGCAGCCACAGCCAGCGTGTTGCGCCGAGTAGCCGACATCAGCGGCAAGAAGCCGCGGGAACGAACAACAAGATTTCCGCCTGCTCGCCATGGATACAATCCACCAGCGCACGCTAGTCTGTTACAGCGCCGGGATCAGCGCGTGCCAGAAGGGCGAGCAGTGGCAGCGGGCCTTTTCGCTGCTGGGCGAGATGCTGGAGGCGCAGATAGAGCCCAACGTCACATCTTGTACACTGCTGCCGAGATGCAGTGCGTGTGTGAGGGCGAGCCGTGGACTCTGGAAATTTGGTCGCGACGGTCGAAATGTGTCGTTAGGCATCGTACCCATGTTTTTCGAAGTCATTTCGGGCGTCCAAGTTTGGGTCAGAACCACCTAAGAGGCGCCCGCCAGGGTCGCCCCGAGTCGGCCCCAAAGAGGGTTTCAAACCAACTGGTTTTCGCCGCGTTTCGTCCTCCAGGATCGAAGGGTTGACTCCTCTCTTCAGAGGAGCAAGAGGTCATGAGACTGATACGATCCGAGCTTTTCAGGATTTACACGGTCCCCTACTGTTTCACAGGGGCTGCAGGGACGCGGGCCGCCAGAGACTCTGGAATTCCCGGAATGTAAGGGTCTACCTATAAGGGTACACCGTCCAAGTTCGCCAGCTGGCTTAGGGTCTCTTCTCACGCGTGCACGCTTGACTGCCCAAGAGCTGAGCACCGTTGCAGCGTCCGCCCACCAGGCAACGTGTGATTTCCGTCGCCGCGGCGAGCAGCTCATTACATGTCATCCCGGCCCGTGCCGCCCGCAGGGCTTCGGTGCCGTGTGCGGGGCGAGCCACGCTCCCACTCGTGGTAGCCATCACGAGCACGATACAGTCGGGGCGCTGAAGAAGGAACCCTTTTGGTTGGGGAGGGGCTCCGTGCTCCCTGATTGTTTCACAGCTTGCCTTCAAGTTTTCCTTGGGTTTTCGATGGGGAATCGAAGTTTCACGTATAGAAGAAAGGGGTCTCGTTCCTTATTGAGAGTTACTTAGGTCAACGCCCTGACTGTAATACGTTATCACTATTTGCCCTCATGCCGTCGTATAATTATCCTGGCGAAGGACTTAGCCATACGCAAGCGTGAGAACCGCAGGGCAGGTGGGACGAACCAAGGAGACTTCCCTATATGGGGCCACGGATCGTGCGAGGGGTGCGCCGAAATGGGGCGGGGCCGCCATGCGAACCCTGCCCCTGGGGCCTTCGGTAGAGCCCCCCATGGGGCCACGAATCGTGTGAGGGGTGCGCTAAAATGGGGCGGAGCCGCCATGCGAACCCTGCCACTGGGGCCTTCGGTGGAGCTCCCTATGGGGCCACGAAACGCTGTACTGGGTGGGTGAAACGCAGGAAGGAGACTGAGGAGGAGGGAGGAAGGTGGGAGGAGGGACGCGGGGACCGCCTTTTCAAAATGAGGATCCAACACCACAGGATGGTTGGGAAAAAATCGCATCATGACATCATTCCCGTGCGATCTTTTCCGCCGGAAGGTATTGGAAGGGTGGTGGAGGCCAGTGGAAGCAAAGCAAGGGCAGTTTCGCCAGCGGAAGGTCAGCGGAAGCAGACGTGAGACGTCAATATTGCCGGATTTCGATTCTCCCCTCCTTCTCGGTTTCGTTTGCTTCTTCGCCCTCCTCAGTGTTGGTTTCTCCTCGCCCTCCTCCTCGCCTTCGTCTTCCTCTCATCGCCGTCCTCCCCCCTTTCCGCCGCCGCCGTCGTCGCTGTCGGTGTCTGCACGGCGTCTTGTTTCGGCGCCGCGCCTCCAGCAGCGGAATTTGTTGTTTCATTTATTTGCCAACGCACCTCTGAAGTGCACGGCTCTTCCTCCTCCTCCTCCTCCTCCTCGTCCTAAGAGCCTCCCCCGCGAGGCCGTGCGAGGCGCGCGACGGCCAAGATCATCGCATACTTTGAGGGCACCGTCGATGTTCTCAATGTTCAGGGTCTCTCGCATCAAGGCTGCCTCAGGAGCCTTCACTGGGCCTCGGAGTGTCTGGGGCAAGCCTCCGAGACCTCCAAGGCTGCTCTCAGGCGGCTCCACGAGGGTCTCGAGAGGGCCGCAGGGTGTCCAAAGCTTCTTCTTATTCTTCTTCTTCTTCCGAGACGGCCCTGCTCGGCTCCAAGAGGGCCCCAGATAGCCTGACAGCGCTCCTTGAGGGCCCCAAGACGGCCCAGGAGAGCCCCACAACAGCAGCAGCCGTGAGCAGCGAACAGCAACAACCAGCAGCAGGCAGTAGCAGGCAGCAGCAAGCATCAGCAAGCAGAGCTAGCATGCAACAGCATCAGTCTTCAGGAGGCGTTAGCAATCGCCCTTGCATGGACTGCATCACGCCAGCAGGCAAGCAACACTCGCGGACGTAAGTCCAGGGGCCGGCCTTGGCTATTAGCGCCCCATGTGCTCCCACAGCAGCCCCAGGCGGCCCTGTTGAGTGCTCAAGACGATTAACATCTGGCTCCAAGACACAGCTTACGACCCCCCCCTGACGACCGCTTGAAGCCCGAGAATGACATAGATGCCCAAGGCGGTCCTGTGAGGCCCCTGAAAAATGCCCCCAGAGCGTTAGAAAAAGCAGCACGGGTCGGAAGCCGGAATTGCCCCACGAGTACACCGTGGTCAGTTACAACGCCGTAGTCAGCGCGTGCGAGAAAGGACGGCAGTGGCAGCGAGCTCAGTCGCTGCTCAGGGAGATGCGGGAGGCGAGCGTGGAGCCCAACGTCGTCGTCCCCTGCGGCAGCGGCGGCAGCCTGGGGCAGCGCGCGCGAGTGGGGCGAGCAGTGCCTCTGGCCCAGAGGGGGTCAGCTGGGCCGGCGGGACCACGGAAGGCCGCGGAGGGGCCCTCTCGGGCCACGAAGGGGCGGAGGCCCCTTGACGGGCCCAACAGTTCTGGACTCCATCGGGTGTTCCCAGCGTCTCGCACTCTCCGTCGCCCCACCCAAGGCGCTTCCAAGATGGGCTCCGAAGGCTCCTGACAGCGCCGAGGAGGCCTGCTCCAGGAGGCCCCCAGGCGATCCCAAGAGGACCCAGGATTGGCCTGCCTAGCCTTCAAGTCGGCCCTGAGCAGGCTCCAGGATGGCCCGAGGCCTCCCCGCCCTGGTGCCAAGCGCTACCCAGACGGTCCCCACGCTTCGAAAATGGCCACCGAGAAGCCCCCATTGACACCAAGGTGGCGCCAAGAGGGCCCACGAAGGTCGCAAGAGAGCCCAAGAAGGCTCATGCAGCATGTTCCCAGCAGCCCAATCTGGTCCCGTGAGCGCCCCAGGATCCCGATCTGTGCGGCCTCCCCACAGTCCGTGCGTAGTTCCCGAGTGTGAGACCAAAGTCACCAGTACAGAATCCCCGAGTCTAAGAGACAACCTGCGAGTCTATGAGATGTAAGCATTCTCGACGGATAGCCCGCGTGGATTTGTAATCCACTGGTCCACACTATCTGCACTACAGTACCAGAATCAGCGCGTGCGAAAAGACGGCCAGGTGGCATCGGCCCGCGTCGGCCTGGCTCGGCCCGCTGCGGGCAGGCGCTCCGAGCCGCCCCCGGAGGCCCCCAAGAGGGCCCGAAGACGACCGAAGACCGTCCAAGAAGGCCTCCGAGACGGACCCCGAGCGCTCCAAGACGCCCCAGACAGCGGCCCCAGAGGCCACCAAAATACTCGAAGTGGGCTCCAGAGAGAGCCCCAGGAGAGCCCGAACAAGGAAGAATCGTTCCAATCCCTAGGAGAAACGTACATGTCAGGAGTTCCCATGCTTTTCGTCGTCGAAGCGTCCAAGACGGCCACACATGCCCTCAAGATCGTCCCAAGATGCCTCAGGAGGCTGCCAGGAGAGCCTCAAGACGGCTCAAGACTGCGCCAGGACGGCTCCTCAGGCGCCCATGGCGGCCCCAAGAGGGGGCCAGGACAGGGTGGGAGCGCTCCCAAGGGGCTGCCAAGAGGGGGCCAGGAGGGCCCCCAGAGGGCCCCGACAAGGCCCGCAGACGCATGTACGTGGGTGCCCCTCTCGAAAGCCCAAGAAGCATATCAAGTACCTATACGACCGCCCTGCGGGCGATAAGGAGGTTGGGGGGGGATTGAGATCAAATGCCCACCATGACTGACCTTCAGCCTGTCACCTTGATCTCATCTCTCCCTTTCTCTCTGTCTCTCTCTCTCCCTCTCTCTCTCTCGAACGCTCGAGCCTCGCAGTCTGCCGCGATCGCGCCCAGGCGCCGACAAAAATGAATTGATGGATTTGGTTGGGTGGATTGGATTGGATGGGACAAGATGGATTGGATAAGATAAGACGGGGTTGGATGGGAAGAGCTGGATTGGATAAGATAAGATGGATTGGATTGGTCCGCCGCAGGCGCCGAAACAAATGAAGTGATGGATTGGGTCGGATAGATTGGAGTGGGTGGGATAAGATGAGGTGGGACAAGATGGATTGGATAAGATAATGTGTATTGGATCGGACAAGATGGATTGGATAAGATAAGCTGGAGTGGATAAGAAAGCCCGCCTCAGGCGCCGACAATAATGAATTGATGGACTGGGTTGGGTGGATTGGATTGGATGGAATAAAATGGGTTGGATCAGATAAGATGGGTTGGACTGGAAGACATGTATTGGATCTGATAAGATGTATTGGATTGGCCCGCCGCAGGCGCAGAAACAAATGAATTGATGGATTGGGTTGGGTGGATTGGATTGGATGGGATAAGATAAGATGGGTCAAGATGGGTTGGATAAGATAAGATGGATCGGATTGGACAAGATGGATTGGATATGATAAGCTGGATTGGATAAGAAAGCCCGCCGCAGGCGCCGAAATAATGAATTATGAAATTAGCGACATGCGTTAGCGCCGGGACGCCTGGGACACCCGGGACACCCGGGACACCGCCCGGCCCAGCTGGGACACCTCCCGGCCACCGGCGGACGGGAAACGGACTTTCGCTCCTACTGATACCCGGGACACCCGGGACACCGCCCGGCCCAACTGGAACACCCACCGGCGGACGGGTACGGTCTTTCGCTCCTACTGCGGCCTAGCTACAGGAGGATAACGCAGCCTCGCCTCGCCCGCACGCACGACACGAACACGAAACCGAAACCGATTTCCCGGTGGGGGGTCTCCGTGTCACTGCGATCTCACCCCCCAACTTCCAACATGCGGTTTGGGGCACTCTTGGGGCCCCTTGGGGGCTCTTGCGTCCCTCTTGAGGCCTTCAGGCCCCTCCAAGACAGGGCCAGGTGCATTCTGCCACAGAAAGGCCTCTCGTGGCAGAGTCGTGGGCCCGCGCCTGGCAGCGTCCTGGTGCCCTCTTGGAGCCCTCTGGGGGCCCTCGTCGTGCTCTCTTGCACGACGGCCCCAAGACGGTACCGACACTGCCCCAGGGTCGCCCGGGTTGTTCAATTTCGATAGACCCAGGTTCAGCACAACGTGCATTTAATCCACGGGTTCACACTAGTTCAGCTACAGTGCTGGGATCAGCGCCTGTGAGAAAGGCGAGCAGTGGCAGCGGGCCGTGTCGCTGCTCTGCGAGATGTTGGAGTCGAAGGTGGAGCCCAACACCATTAGCTACAGTGCCACGATCAATGCGTGCGGGAAAGGTGGGCAGTGGCAGCGGGCTTTATCGCTGCTCAGCGAGATGTTGGAGGTGAGGTTGGAGCCCAATGCAATCATCAGCTTTTCAATGCCAGGGCCATCGCATTTGGAGGATGCCGTCAGCAGTAGAGGGTCAATGTCCACTAAGGCACCGCAAGATCGCCCCAAAGCAGTTCGAGGCGGCTTCGTGGTCCCGAGATATCCTTGGACGGCACCTCATATCTGCCAAGACGTGCCGCCAACCCATGCAGGCCCCGAACATGCCCCACCATGCCTCCAGCAGCTCCCCAGGAGGAGAGCTTCCAAGGGGCCCCAAAGAGGAGCAAGCATATCCCGGATTATGTTTCGCCAACAGGGCCTTCATTTCATTGGTGAGAGAGGGCCGATGGCGATCATGGCCTTCCCCCACCCAGCGTCCTTGGGAGTCTTGAGGTTACACGGGTTCGTGTGTTGTTTGTTTTGCTTGTATGTTGCGTTGATTTGCCATATCTACTTGTGCAACCAATGCAGTGCGTTGCAATCCCACGCTGTGCTGTATCATCCAGTAATATGTTTCATGACGCGATGCCAGGCAATTCTTCGCCATGCTACCCAATGCCCTACACTGCCTCATGTTGGTATGTTGGTTACACAATGCGGCGCTACGTTGTCCATAGCCATGCCCTGAAATGCAATGTAATGAGTTGCAACGGTATGCAGCAGTACGCCATCCTGTTATGATTCGATGCGACATGGTAGGTAAATCATGTGTCTTGCTGTGCTCTTCTGTGTCCTGCCTTGTTCTACTGGATATAGGCGCCCGTGATCAACTGTGCAGTGCTGCCAAGGTAATATATTGCCATGGCATGGTATGACATGGTATATCATGTGTCGCCCGATGCCATGCTACAACATGTATTGATTATCATTGCATTGCAGTGCATATCATTGCGTCCCGCTGTATGTATCGGATGGCCTTCGGTCCACCCCACCACCGTGCCTGGCTTGCGGGGTCGGGGTTAATGTGACGTATCTTGGGGTCGTTTGGGTGATTATGTGGGGCCCTCTTGAAGGACTCTTGGGTCCCCATGGGCATCTCTTGGGAACATCCCTTGTCGGTCTCATAGGGACCGTTGGGGGGCCTCTGGGGGCCCGTTGGGCATATTGGGTGTCTCGGTTATAGTTGGGAGAAGAGCGTCCGTATCCTCTTCGTGGTCCCACCCTCCAGGGTCGAACACATGAAACATAGCAGGTTGGTCAGGTGTCTCTTGGCATCGGGAGAAGCCATGCTGTGATCTCAAAAACGTTTGCGAGCACCTCCTGCCTCGGGGCTTCTGGGCCCTTGAAAGTTCATTTTCGGCGGCGAGCTCAGGGGGGAAGTGAGAATGGGCGGGTCTTCTAAGAAAGCTCGGAAGGCCTCGGGCCTCCTGGGGAGTCTTCGAAGTCTTCCCCGAAGACACAGCACTTGTCAGAAGGCGCGAGGGCGTCTGAAAGACCCGCCGCCTTCTGAGAAGGCCTTTTCCTTCTCACTTCCCCACCTCGCTCGCCGGCGACACACGCAACATCCACTCCAGGCAGAGAATTCAGAGGGGCCTGAGGGCACGTCACCCAGTTCCTGCGGCGCGGCGGCGGACTTGCATGCGCCTGGAGCAGAAGCTGTTCCCCCTCAGTGCGGGGTCGCTGCGGGCTCACCCGTGCTAGAGCACGGTCGAGGCGCTGAAGCAAGGACCACTTTGGTCTCAGAAGGGGATTGGGTGCTCGGGCCGCTCCTTACATTTAGGTCGGCGAACCTGATCGCGGCCGAAGCTCGCCGTGACCAGGAAACCCCCTTCCTTCCTTATTTAGCGTTCTTTCTGGCATTGCATTGGCTGTATGTGTTGAACCTTCTTTGGTTTCTTCGCTTCTCTGGCCTGAGAAATACAGACTGGGTCAAGACCGCACAGAGACCGCCCCAGCGATCTCACAAGGCCCAGGACGGCTCAAAAACATCCCAGAGCGGCCGAGGCGGCTTCAACAAGGCTGCCAGGGTGCTCGAGGGACCCGGGAAGGACCTAGAGCCAGAAATTGTCCCATGACGGCGCCACCCAATCTTTACTAATCCGATTCTCCCCCAGCGTGTCCGCGCTAGCTTTGCCAAGATGCCCCCCGAGATGCCCCGACAAGGCTTCCAAGAGCCCTCCGCGAGGCCAGATCACTGATCAAGCGTAGCTGTATTCGATGCATGCGTTAGCAGGACGATTCCAAGATGTCTCCCAGTCATCCCGGAGGCCACCCCAACAGGGCCAGGACAGCCAAAGACGGGCACCAGGCAATCCGTAGAAGACGTTGGGGCGTCCAAGAGTGCAACAGGAGGGGCCCGCGGGTTGCAAAGCAGAGTCCGACATGGCACCAGGGCGGCTGTTGTCGGCTAACCGTCAACCAGGTTTCTATCGGAACGCTCGTAGAGATCTGAGCATGCAGATAGTGCTTAGATTATGGGAAATGAGCTTCCTCGAAACTAAGCCTAAAAACTTGCAAATGTATGTCTTCGGCCCCCTCGTCAGCCCAACGCCTGCCCTGGGGCATGCCCTCAGCACGCTCCCACCAGCCGCCGGCAGGCACCCGCGAGTACCCCCAAGAGGTTCCCAGGATGCCCAGGAGAGGCCAACTGCGCTGCATACGCCATAGTGTCAGGAGCGACAGAAGGACGTACACGTACATGAATCCACGCTGGTTTCGAGGGTTCGCATTGCGCGAATGTTCGTATTACGCGGCCGGTCTCGCGGGTCAAGGGGCCGTGTTCATGTACATAGCTGGGCGCGTACATCCTGTGTGGGCTCCCTATAGTGCTGAATGCTTGTGCCTTTCCTGCGCCGTCCCATAATGGACCAGGATGACCCCGTCGTGGCCCTTTGCTGATTACGTCATCTGTTTGCCAGGCACGGCATCCACAGGACACCACTGTCAGCTACAGCTCCGGAATCAGCGCGTGCGAGAAAAGTGGGCAGTGGGAGCACGCACTGTCTTTGATCAGCGAGATGTGGTTTGCGAGGCTGGAGCTTGACGTTGTGAGCTACAACGCTGGGGTCAGCGCCTGCGGGACAGGCGGACAGTGGCAGCATGCGTTGTTGCTGCTCCGCGAGATGTGGGATGCGAAGTTGGAGCTGACCGTCATCGATTCTACAATCTTCGCGGCAGCCCGTATGAAGACAGTGCCAAGACCCGTCCAAGATGGCCCACGGGAATTTCAAGACATCTCCAAAGACGGCCCCAAGATCTGCACAGACGGCCTTATATGGGCACAAACAATCCAGCCGCGTGTTTTTGTCATTTTGAGAGTTAAGGCTTTTGATTGTTTGGGGCCTAGACAGACTTACCCAGATGGGTTCAATAAAGTCAAAGACGGTGTCAAGACATTAGCGAAGTTGCGAGAATGCCCCAACACGGTCCAGCAGGGTCCAAGACAGCCATCAGTGGGCCGCAGGGTTTTCAAGATGAGTCCAATCTTGTCACAAGACAGCCCCTAGATGGCCCCAGTACGCACCGAGACTAGCTCAAGACCCGATAGGCCCGCACAGTTCCCGAGCAGGTTCCCAAGTTGCCCCGGAGCCAGTCCCAAAAGACCCCTGAGAGTCCCAAGTGTTGAGATACTACCAAGTTCCGAATGCCCCAACACAGTGCTTGCACTTGTGGATTCCTTTTTTTTGTCAAGCAGTTGTGGTGGCTGTCCCAGTTCCTCGCCAAGTTGGCGCCCGACCCCGCTTGTGGGCGCCTCGTGGGAGTTGCACCGCACAGCTCACACAGTACACACTGCTACACCACACAGCTTACTCGACACAGCTCACACCACATGGCTCTCACAGCCGATCGTGCGCCACATAGCTTGCGCACCACATAGGTTTGCAACGCATAGCTTGCACCAATCTCAGACCACATAGCTCCCACCTCCTACCTTACACAGCACAACTTGCACTTCACAGCTTGCACCGCGCAGCCCACCCAAGATAACTCACACGACGTAGCTTACACGACATAGCCTCCTACTCCAAATAGCTCACCTAAAAGCCCAGCCAACGGCGAATGAGAAGCATGGTGCGATTGACCGATTTATCGGTCGACCTCTTTCCCGATCTCTCGACCTGCCATTATGCCTCAGTATCTGCCTGCCGATCGGTCACAACGTCTATATCGAAGACGCCTACGGCGAATCACCGCCGCCGCCTGCCTTCTGGAATCGCTCATGTGGCAGAGCGTTGTGGCAAGAGCTCTGCCAAGCTATCGCACCATGTGTTCCCCAAACCGTTGTGGAAGCCTTCCGGGGAACACTTGGGGGAGGATGGCGGGGAAGATCAGGAGGAGGAGGAGGAGGGGGAGGGGGCATCTTGGGAGCCTCCAGGGACACTTGGGGCCTCCTGGAAGCTTCCTGGGAGCCTCTTGGAGGCATCTTGGGGGCCTCCTTGGGCCTCTTGGGGGCCTTCGGGATTTCTCGGGGACGGATTTGACCGTCTTGGGGCATTCCTGGCCCGTCGGAAGCCGTCTTGGGGGCCTCTGTGGGCAGGGATGGGGCCCGTGTTGGAGGCAAGCTTGGGCGTCTTGGAGGCCTCTGGGGCCGTCTTGGGGCGCTCTTGGGGTCGTTTTGGGGACCTCTTGGGCCGTTCTGGGGCCATCCTGGCGGCCTCTTGGGTGATCTTTGGGCGATCTTTAGGGACTCTTAAACCGTCTCGGGCCGTCGGAAGGCCGAAAGGAAGCAACTGCTCACATCCGTCAAACACCTATGGGAAATCAATGATGTTGGCCTCTTCGGGCCTTCCTGGAGACCCTCTTGGAGGCCTATTGAGCCGTCTCGGAGACCTTTGGGGGGCCTCTTTGGGCCATCTTAGAGCCATAGTGGGCCGTCTTGGTGGGCTCCTGACCCGTCTGACGCCGTCGGAAGCCGTCTTGGGGACCTTTCTGGGCCGACTTGGGGCCCTCTTGGGGTGCTGCAGGGCCGTCTTGGAGGCCATCTTGGGCGTCTTGGAGGTCTCGTGTGCCCTCTTGGGGCCGTCTT